ACAAAACATATTTTCTTAAATATATACATGCATGTGTGTGTATTTCCATATACATAATACATATACACAGTACACATGCATATATTATGTAAACAAAAACTTTGCGATTAATCACGATTAATCATTTGACAGCACTAATTTATTTATTTATTTATTTGCAGTTGTGAGTTATCAGCGGTCAGATTCAAGAAATCAACATTTTAAAAACTGTCAAGATTGAGTGAATCCTGATTTACATTTATGCATTTGGCACCAAATGTGACTTCATGATTTATATTTTATCAGTCTGTATGGGAACATGGGATCGTCAAAACCATTAACCCACACCAGAAAACACCAGCAAAACCATTTCTAAGCATAACCGGACCATGATGGTTCCTCATGTGACGTCTGGAGAGTTTGAGGCTTCATAAACCCTGAGTGTCAGTACGCAGACGCTATTAAAAGTTACATAAACGCTGTGAGAAGTTTGTAAAAGTGTTGCGGGAAGCCAGTGTGGGCAGTGAGAGTATTTGGCTCGAGGGACCAGGGTGTGTCTGTGGTCATTGACTTTGAGAAGAAACAGCAGCTGGAGGAGAGAAAAATAGTGATATTTGCGAGAACGAGAAAAAGAAATGCAGACGACATCGAAGAAACTGAGAAGGTGCAGGATGTAATTTTGTCCTTGCAGTGGGAGCATTTGTCCGCCGTCCAAGTCCAAAAAAACGTTTTCACTTCGGTCCCTCAGTCGGAGAGTGTTTTACTTGGAGATGGATGGAATGAGAATGAGAATCAGAAGGAAAAGAGGAGGAAGGAGGAGCAGAATAAAAAAAGGCACAAAAAAATGTCTAGGAGACATCATGTTGAGGAGCAAGTTCGCTACCCTAATAAACCTTTACAACTACTCACAATAACACATTCATCCCAAATAACAAAAAAGTTTTGCTAATGTTTCTGTTATTAAAACATTATTTTAAAATAAAAACTTTTCTGTGAATATTAGAGAAAACATTAGGGTTCCATTTTAGCATATTTTAAACATTATGGAAATGTTACTTTTAAAAGTCCTATGAGGAGGTTTGTGCATCCCAGCTAACAAGGAACGTTCTAAAAACTCTGGCAAGCTAAACAAACTTCTAACGTTCTGGCAAGGTTCTCTCAAAGTTATGAACAAGCATTCTTCCAGTAAATGTATCTGTTCTCTAATAATGTTCTCTAAATAAATAAATAAAATAAATAAATATATATTATGAAACTATTACGTTTCAAAAAAATGTTCCATTTATTTAGAGAACATTATTAGAGAACGGATAACTTTACTGGAAGAATGCTCGTTCACAACTTTGAGAGAACCTTGCCAGAAGGTTAGCCAAAGTTTTTAGAACGTTCCTTGTTAGCTGGGATGCACAAACCTCCTGTAAACCGTAAACACGTTCTGCCCACACCTCTTCTTTCACCTCCTCGCAGTCGAGCCACAGATCATCTGTGTTTGGGAGCTTCACGTTTAATGTCCCTGAAGGTCAAGGAGTCACAGGGAATCACGGGTGATCTAGGATTAGAACAGAAATGATCCATGTGGAATTCATCCTGGACCTTTTGAGAGTGAATCTCCTGGAATTACATTCAACCACGTATGTTAACATTTCAAGTTAGATCATTTTTAGATCACGTTCACAAGCCTACTGTAAAATATTTGTATTCTTTTTTATGCTTCTCCGAGTCTTTACTGACCAAAAATCAACTCTGTTTTTTTTTTTCAGATGTAGGCGCGTCTGTGATTCTAAAGATTCCGTTCGTGCGCATGCGCGTCGTCCTCTTCTCGCTGTTCTGCGCGCTGAGCCGAGGCGCGTCTGGTCTGGAGTTTATTCATCAACGCACTAAAACTTTGGTATTATTCGGGGTTTAAGGTAAGATTAAATGTTTATAACGTCCAAGAAATGTGTGTGGACAAATTATCAGACGGTTTAGAGACAAATGTGGAAGTTTCGTTATTTTATTCGGTTATTGTAAACAAACTAAAGGTTTGACGCTAAACTGAAGACTGAAGGAACGGTTATAAATAAACTGACACGTTATTCTGACATGGTTCATTCATAAGTGTGTTATTCGAATGAGATTTGAGGGATAAATTAACTTAATTATTACAAATATTCTAATAGGCTAAGTTCTAATAGGCGTCAGTTCGTTTTCTTTCGATTTTGGCGTGAAATGTGAACACAGTTTAATCAAACCATTTGAATGTCTTCTGTCAAGCATACAAAAATAAATAAAAAAAATAATATTACAAATAAAAATGATGATACTAGGATGTTGTCAGACGGCCAAGGTGTTGCTATGCGGTTGCTAAGGTGTCTCTATGATTCTCTATTGGATCTGCTCTGACATTCTATATATCATTGTCATGTTTTAACCAGCTTTTGAAATAAAAGATTACTGCAAATTAAAACTTTTTTTTTTGTATTTGTAAATATTTCTTATTTTGTATTTATGAAACAGATTGCTAGAAATGTACTTAAAATATTATTAATGTTGATGCCAAGATGTTGCTATGCAATGAAAAATCATGATAAAAAGTACAATGCATGAAGAAGAATGCATGGCCTGTGAGTGAATGAGAGAGCAGCATGAGCTAAACACACACAGAATGTTTCCATTACTTCCCACTCACTTCCTCAGTCTGTCTGATGGACTTGGTGTGTGTGTGTGTGTGTGTGTGTGTGTGTGTGTGTGTGTGTGTGTGTGTGTGTGTGTGTGTGTGTGTGTGTTTGTGTAGAGACACACACAGGTGTAATTAAACTCCAGCAATAACAGTCTGGATGGAGACATGTGGAGACATATACATACATATATATATATATATATACACATACATACATACACACACACACACACACACACTGTATATGTATGTATATGTATAAAGATGTCATGGTATTACTTCAGTCGTCTGGTGTTTGACTCTCTCTTTCTCAGGACGCGTGTCACGGTGTGAAAGGAAAATACTGACTGATGGGCGGCTAAATGGATTGAGACGGTCCGTCGAGAGAAAGAATAAGAGAAGATAGTGAGAGAGAGAGCGAGGACGAATAATCCAGCTAATCCTGGCCAATCCCAGCCGTTCAGACTCCTCTGGAGCCACAGACAAAACACGGCGGATCACACGCACATCTGATGTGCTTTAGACAGGCTGTTTTGGGGGATCCTGGGATGCCAAAGGCCTGCGGTGGGATTCGTAAACACTAAAACAACAGATTAGAGCGACCGTTGGATGTCAGGTGTGTTAGGACAGAGCTGAAGGAAAAGGACGATGCTGAATGTCATTCATCTAACAAAGCGTCAAGTTTCTGGAGAAGCAGCATTCAACTTTGGTGTGGACAAGAACTCAGATGCGGTTTTAAAGGAGATATAAAAGATGCGATGTGTGAAACGGATGTTTAGAAGAAGTTCTGCATCATGTAAATCTGAACAAGTCTCTAATAACAGTTAACAGTGGGATTCAGCGATTCTTTTAAAAAGATGGTGACATGTAGATATTTTTTGAAGACATTTTGTGTAAGAAACATATTTTTTCTACTATCAGAGAGAGTGCAGGGTTTCTGTGTTCACTAGAAGGTGTTTAAATTCTTCGTAAATCCTATTAGGCTTCTTTAACATGTTATTTTTAAACCCTGGCTCAGGATGGGCAGCAGCTGACAAACCGATGGAGCTCATATATTACAGACGTGTGAACATTTAAAAACACGTGTGCATTTGTAGTAAGTATTTAGATTTGATGGCGTTCATATCTTATTTTGACAATTATTTGACATTAATTTAACATTTATTTAAGTGGATTCATCTGGTAGATTTTTTTCTGACATGTTATTCAACCATTTTTTTCTCTCTCTGGATCTGTTTTAAGGATTATTTGACATTTATTATGCTTCATTTATCTGGGTATTTAATCGCTTCATTACACTAGCATTTTTAAAGCATTTTCTGACACCTCAATTTTTCCATCAGTGACATATTTGGGGTTGACTCAGTTTACTGTTTATTCTATTGGCATCTGTTTACATTTGAGGAGCACTTGATATTTTGGGACAGACCTTTTGGATTTGGTTTTAAGGATCATTTAAATCATATTTCTCGTCATGAGTCTGGGAAAGTTGCCGGCGATCAAAGGCCTGGTATCCTCGTCTCACGGCAAACGGCGGTTTAAGAGTGACCTGTCGGTGGACATGATCAGTCCGCCACTCGGCGACTTCCGCCACACGATGCACGTAGGCCGCGGTGGGGACGTCTTCGGGGACACTTCGTTTCTGAGCAACTACGGCGGATCAAGTAACAGCGATGGCCTACGGTACCCGGATTCACTCTCTGGCTCCAAACCGACGCGTTTTTTGTCGAGAACGCTACAGCACGTACGAAAGACTCCTCTGCCCCGGTTGAGAGGAGGGTCACGTGACTTCTCGTCCCCTCCGCCGCCCATCTCGCCTATCATGAAAAACGCCATCTCTCTGCCTCAGCTCAACATGAGCAACGACGTCCTGATGAGGGCGCTGCTGCCCACCTCCACCAGCTCACCGGACGAGCCGCTCTGCTCCTACGGTACCAACACAGACACCAAATACATCTTTTATATTTAGGGCTGTCACTAACAATTATGTTGGTAATCGAGTAATCAGTCGATTATTCTGACAATTTACCGAGTAATCGGATTAGAATTAATTATTGAGGTAATAAAAACAGATCTAAGCAAACAATACACTTTAAAATTACTTAAAATACATATATAATAGCATTGAGTTAATAATAATTGGATCAAATCAAAAGCAAGTATGGTTTTACTGAACAAAAGTGTGAAAATACATAATATATTAAACAATAGAACTAACGTACATTATGCATTATATCAAAGGCCTGCAGACGGCGCCAACGACTTGACAATTGTTTTTACACTACAACGTGATCTAATCCTTCTTTAATATTGACTAAACAATATTTAATTCACATGTCCACTTAATCTTTAATATTTGGCCATTTATTTAGAATTGCTACAGCCACTGTCATTTCTTGAATATGTGGACATCAAAACGTGTAAACTCAGAGTGAGGGTTTGAGCTTTTATTTTGAAATCACAAATGAATAGTTATGGCCAAAGTATACTTCGTTTTTGTATGCGTACGCTAGTGTATGCATACAGTCAAATGCGTAGCCATCAAAGTAGGCTGTACTTAGGAGTTAGCATATTTAGAAAGATGATGTATTCTCCTGTGTTGGCGTAGGTTTATATTATTTACCTTACAAATCTGATGAAATGGCGCATGTTGCGTCCCCAGATGAACGTTATAATAAATCCAAACTCACAGCAATATGCAGAGATGGAGTTTGAGACACTCCACACATGTAAATGATAACTGTTTGTGTGGAGCAGAATTTACTGTGAACGGAGCCGCTCTGACACGCACATACGTAACCTACCCACATGTAAATAATTAATGCGTATTAAACCTGCATATATTTATTTAATTGAATTGTAGTTTGTGAATTAACAGTGATATTATGCTTTATTATGATTTTTAAATGGGTTTAATATATCATGCGGCCTTGGAAAATGGTCTAATAATGTGTTTCATGGATTCTCGTCCGTGGAATGCTCCACTTCCGGGATTTTGCCGGTTACTCGACATGGGCAAAATGCAATCGAGGATTTTTTTGTAATCGAGTACTCGAATTGAATCAAGGAATCGTGACAGACATAATTATCATTGTGCTCATATCATTATATCGTTGTTATCATTATATTTATCAATATAGTTGTTGCTATAGTTATTGCTGTAGATATTCTTATAATTAGCGTTATAGGTATTTTATTAGTTTTCATAATAGTTATCGTTATATTTATTGTTATAGCTATTATTATAATTTTGTTATCGTTATCACTAGTTATCATTCTATTTATTGTTATAGTTGTCTTTGTAATTATCTTTATAGTTATCATTATAGTTATTGTTTTTAGGTATTGTTATAATTTTTTGGTGTAGTTATCACTAGTTATCTTAATAATTATTGCTTTAGTTATATGTATAAAGTTATCACTATAGTTATCGTTATAGTTGTAATTATTATCATTAAAGTTAAATGTATAATTATTGTCATCACTATAGATATCATTATAGTTATTGTTATAATTATCATTATAGTTATCTGTATAATTATTTTTTTTAGTTATCACTATAGTTTATTTTATTTCTTTCAAAATCTATGAGAAAAGCAAGTCCACACTACAACTATAATGATAACAACACAGAGGAACAATACTGCTGGAATCACTTTCAGTGCATTTTTTTCCAGCCGATGAATGAAAAAGCATTAACATACAATATGAATCCATCCTGCTTTAAGGAGCACAAGTGTTTAAAGAAACATATATCAAAACGGCAACATACTTTTAAAATAAATGGAACGTTATAATCAGCTGATGTGGATGCTAATATAGTTATCATTATAGATATTGTTATAGTTATTGTTATCATTATTGTTATACAGTAGTTAGTGTTATTGTTATAGTTGTCACTATAGTAAAAGTGTTGATTGTGTCACAGTTTTAGTCATGATTTTGGTGTTTTTTGTTTCGCCACCAAAACAACTAAAATTACATATTTGGTTCCGCACCAAACGCGAGAAATGAACAGATGCAGCATTTATAATCAAATTAAATTCCATTGCTGCATTAATAGTGTAAACACTCAATACACTTGTCCGTAGGTAAATATGTTTATACCTCTTTCTAATTAATCTGATTGGTTTATAGTTTAAGATTCAAGATTCAAGATTCAAAGTGTTTTATTGTCATGTGCACAGTGAGGAAAACAGGTTTCCCTGTACAATGAAATGATTTCTTTGCTGTCCACAGTGAATGCCAAGACAAGTGCAAAAAACTATGTAAAAATAAAATTAAATCACACACACACACACACACACACACACACACAAATATACACACAAACATAATAAAAAATTAAATAAAACTATGCCGCAGAAGTAGAAATATAAACTATGTAGATATAGAAGTATAGACTATAAAACTGTTGTTGATCTGCTGCACTATGTAATCTTAAATTGAGCTATTTTTAACTTGACACAGTATTTTAAAAACTTCTCACTTGAAAATGAGACGCTGAGAAAACAGTGATACGATCTGTAATGACCAAAGACACAGACAGACTGAATGACCTTTATCAGTTTGAGTGCAAACCAAGCGGCAACCTCCCGCTCTCTCTCGTGAAGCCAACACGGAAGTGACTTAAACTGTAATTCGTCAACTGGCCGCTAGAGGCTGGCTGCAAAAGGGAGTCAATCCCATAGACTCCCCATTTTAAAATGGCCAACTTTACAGCAGAAAAATGGTCTGTGTGGTAATATAGTACATCGGGCAGGACATCCATATGCTCACCTAACATTCATCGACCTCAAATATGGCTTATCATCTGAAATATGTATGTAGCAACTTTACATGGCAGCTCAATCTAATGTTAGCCTAGAAAAAAAGTGCGCTGTTCACGTGTTTGTGCGGAGTGTGGAAGCTAGCGCGCTTGGGCTACTGCATGATGATGGCGATCGTTTGCTCTTAAAATACTTTGTCATTTTTGGTCATACAGATAAGAGTAATGCATCTTTTGTATCTGTAAAGACTCTACGTTTATTCGTGTGCACTTAGAATAACAACAAAACGTTGCGCTTTTATAAAATAATTAAAGCAAACAGGATGCCCTTTCTGCCGTCTTGGTCTGTGAACTTGAGCACGTCACTTCAAAACTCCGTGTATTCTTGCCTTATTACAGACATGAAAAACATATCTATAGAGAGTGAAGCTATTAAATGAACCAGTTCAAATATAAAACAAATATTCTCAGATTATGTAATCCGTATGAAACATGCATACATACTGCGGAGATGACGAGTCAGTGTCGCCGACTTCATCTCTTAAACCGAAAACAGAAAGCACTAGTGTAACAATAAATTATTAAAACGTTAATGCAGTGTACTTGCTGTTTTTCCCTAACACATTTATAATTATTATATTTGCTGGTGCGCTGTGGCAAGCCTTTTTGTGTGTGCACTTGAGCACTTATTAGGCTATGTAGGCAATTAAAGGCTCATTATTATGATTTATATGGTTTATTAATAAAAGTGCGACTAATAGTCGACTAATGCTTAAAATGAACGACTACTAGTAGTAGTCGACCAGAAAAATCTTTAGTCGAGGGCAGCCCTAATGCATATTGACTAATTGTTTACGAGAAGCATACATATA